ACGATTAGCCTCATTTGCATATTACTCGCTCAAGAAGCCGCGAGTGTAGACATAGCCTTAGTGTCAGGGACTGGAGCAAAAGTTGCTCTCAGTTTCACTTCTGTTAATACACCATAATTCCACAGGCATCAATGGATTGATTTATGCCAGGGTCACCCAGAGCAGAATTCTGGCCTGTGAGAAGCTGCTATTTGGTTGTGGTGGCTTCTGGAGAACTTGGGGGGGCGGCTGGCAGGATCCAAAGGCTGGGATTTGCAAAGCACCTAATCTTGATGGGAAAAGTGGGTTTGGATTTGAATCCAGCTCTGACTTTCTCAACCCTCTGTCTCAAGGGAATGACTCATAGCCCTTTGTGGGTATCACAGCTACACACTGCAGGTGTCACTAGGGGAGAGTTGGGCCTGGAGAGGCCTGGAGCTCAGATCTGGGATTCAGACTTGGCAAAGAATATGGAGCCTCTGCCCAAGGGATCCAGTGGGGAGGGAGATAAACTTACCAAGCCTCTCACACAGCTCCTGGCACTCTGGGGAGAGAGGAAAAGGAACTATTATGGGTTCCAAGTGTGTTGTTCCAAGCACAGTGCCATGGGGCCCTGCAAACTCTGGGTGCAGCTGCACTGCAACTGGAGCAAGCCTCTCAGTTCTGCTCCAGCCAGGCCACTAAAAGCTGAAGGGCAGCTGGGTACCAAGTGCAGGGCCTTAGGCTGGTGGTTCAAGTACAAACCCACTGACACTCTCTGGGGATGCACACAGGTGGCTGCCTGATCCTGTTTCCTCTCCTACCCTCACATGGATCTTGTCAGCAACCTGGTTCCAGCAGAGCTAGTGTGTGTCTGGCCACCTGAGCTGGGAAGCTCTGACCAATTGAAGGGCAGATGCACCCAAAGAGCCAGGGGTCTCAGAACTGACTGCACAGATCAGATAACACCATTGTTAATGAACAACAGACAAGGTCCCACATCAGCTCCTAAACAAAGACCACAAATTGCATCTAGGGATAGTATCCCCAGCTGTTGGCACTGCCAGCAATGAGGGGAGAACATCACACCAGAACATACATCACACAGCAAGAGGTCTACCCTGATGCACTCTGTCACTTGACCTCCTATTTCTGTGCCATGCAATCCCCTTGTGTTACTGCTTTGCAAAGTGTGTAGCTCTAGGTCAGTAGCTGTCAGCATCTTAGCTGGGGAAGGGCTCCGTGGGGCTGAGTGAGGGTGTGTCTAGACTACATGCCTCCTTCGACGGAGGCATGTAGATTAGCCAGATCGGGAGGGGGGAATGGAACACCCG